GTCTCGCGGTAAAGCTTCCATTGGGAGCCCATTCTATGTTTTGATAACACGCACTAAGAAAGAGTTATAGAATTGCTGGTTCCTCACTTTTTCTACTAAAAGCCTGAACAAGTGTCCTCTAATATAATTGTTAAATTTCGATAAATAAAAAATCTTGCATTTCTACTTCAATCCTGTTGGCAATCATTTTGAAGCCAAGGTTTTGGTCATAAGGGGATCTTCTTTTGAAAGCAAGAGTAGTGGCGGCTAGAATAGAGAGCCTAGATTTGTAGGACAATCGGAATACTCCAACTAGGGCAAGAATTTCGGCACTGAACAAACTCTGGACTCTTTCTGTAATTCCAGTAAGGGCTTTCTCAGAAAGGGACCATAGACGAAAAGGCAAAGAAAATTTTTACACCAGTAATTTTGAACCCACGAAGAATGTAAGCATCTGGCGTGAGCAGCAACGGAACTCGTATATATTTCTCAAATTTTAGGCTGTCAGAGTAGGTTATACCAAGACCTCTGGCGTTGCCCACTGTTTGAAGCTTATGTCTCCCAATAGATTGGATAATCGCCATGACAAAGGTTTTTCCCGCAGAGATGTCCAGCTCCCATTTGTCGCATCGCTCCTCTGCCGCATCTAGAGAGCGGTGCATCAGATTGGAATCATCATAAGACTAGAACCACCCATTAAAAAAGAAGAAAAGGCTGCTTCTAAATGCATCTAAGCTACTCAACGGTTGATTTTCTGAATTTTTGCCCCTCCCCTCCCCATCATAAGTAATAAAGGTTGCCAGTTGCGATCCCAGGATTTCCGACCGGGGGATCAACAAAATTTTTTTCGGATGACGATGCGTGGCCTTAGCCACGCAATTCAGAAAAACTTTTGAGGTGCTTCTCAAACTTTTGAGGGCCACTAGCCCCTAACGTCTAGGAGGGGCGTGGCAGCCGTTTGAACCTCTTTTACTTCTTTACCCGAAAAATTTTTTACAAGGCTAATTTGAATTGAAATTTTAGAAATTGTTTCAATTTACAAACTCGACGAGTAGAAAGAAAGGTCTTTTTTCGAGTGTCTTCAAAGTAATCACATTGGATGTGGTGATTGTCAAAATAAACACGAAAATTACCCTTAAAATAAAAAGTCTGGTTTTTCTCAAAGCAGCAATCACTTCATAACCAATACTTGATGCGTCTTTTGAATTGCTGCCCCATCGTGTCGTTTTTACTCTGGTGCACAACATTTTGAGCAAGAACCTTTGAGCTCAAAAAAATGTTTGGTACCCACTTCAAAAAAGAAATATGAAAAAGCGCACTTTTTTGCATTCTTTTTACTGAATATCAGGTTGGCTGATGAGTAATTTTAGTCGCTTTTGCGGCTCCCGCAATTGCTGCAGACACATTTTGTGAACTATTTAATATCTCTAGATAAAGTACTCCAATAAGGCTTGACTGTGCAGTTTTTTTGTGTAGAAATCATTTTTTGAAGAAAGGGACGAAGAAGTGAGACAACACGAGTCGATAGTAAACTTGTCGAAACTCAGAGTTACCTTTGTGGTAACGCGCACCTTTTTGACTTCCTTAACAGGTGCTTGAACAGAACAAATTTGAAAAGCGATGATATGGCTGGACACTCCGTAACCGATAATTTATTTCTAGTAGCGCCATTGTGCAAATCGCTCTGCACATGAAACAGCGCCACCAAACGCGCAGATGACCCCTGCGATAACCCTGATTTGGTGCGCATTCCACTCTATCGTGGAACTCAGAGATAACTCTGAGTTGGGTCAGAGAAAGAGAAATAGTGCACAGATGAAGAAGGGCAGCTAAAAACCCCTCCGGAGTACATTTTGTTCGTAGTTTCAGCAGGCATGATGGGGGTATCGTGGTGTACAGAAGTTTACAGAATTTTGTCGTAAAATCCATCTTACGGTAGGTTTACGGTAGACAGGAGAATGCCACAAAATTGGCCAAAACTAAGGCCGGTAGGGTTATTCGGGGCGCTGATCACGAATTTGGCATACAATTTATACCGCGGTGATATCCAGCAAGGTTACGGTAGTTTAAGTTTACGGTAGATGGGAAAAAATCAGAAATTGATCGAAACTTCGAACAAGGGGGTTATTCGGAGCGCTGATCACGGACAGTCTATATGGTTCCTACGGTGTCATTTTGAGCGATTACGGTAGGCATGCTGTAAGTGGGCCAAATCATAAAATAAGGGCAAGTTTTGCGCGAAGACTTTATTTTGTGCTCAAACCCTATTAGTTCATTTTTACCATTTTTACCATTCGCTCTTTCTACTGTTTGAAACTTTCAGCTGCGCAAAAGACTAACTCGTGCAATAAATCATCACTTCTCGACAAAAACGAAAATGAGTGAGGCTTTGAGATTCAATATGATTTAACTTGCTTTGTGTAAATGCAATGAGTACATTATAGCCAAACGACTCTGCGTTTGAAGGGTGTGTTATGGCCTAGCGGTTTAGTGTGGGATCATTACGCTAGACCGAATAAGTCATGACGTCGCTTTTGCAGCAAGGTGCGTAACAGCTCCTCAAACGGCAAAACTCCGAGCTTAAGAATTGGAACTCGGAACTTTCTGACCGGAACTCAGAATTTCAATAAGCATAACTCTGTGTTTTCTAAAATAAACCAGAGTTATCCCTGAACTAAAGCGGAACTTTAATCACGAAGTTTTGACCAGAATACGACCTCGATTTTCTCATTGCGTACAAATATGAGAGATTTCCGCTTTTTCATCCAAGGAAATTCGAAATAGCAGATCACAATTTCAATTGTTGTTCGCTAAACAGAGAAATCTTGTGTTTATCCAAGCACCACATTACTCATCTCCACAATCATCTCAGCACGAATACGAAGCTCAGAAATTAAATGAACCCAGCCTTCGTAAATTTGGCCATCATAGGCCGTCCTCCCAGATTCTCGACTTCCAGAATTTGTCGTTTCAGGGCCTCCTCATGTTCCTGATTCGAATATGAATTAAAGAATCCGCGACCCAACAATTTCCGTTCCGGAGAACACGCAGGCCGGCTTTTTGGGACGGTGATTGGCTGCACGCATGGATGGGCGGGATGGATGGGTAGGGCGGTGCCGTCTGAGGGTCTTCGTGCATCTACGTTATTCCGGAGCGATTTTCTCGTTTTCAGAAACATTTTGCGCCGCGAGTTGGGCCTTGGCTTGATAGGGGATCCTACTATTATATGCTACCAAATGCTATCAACTTAGGGTGAACTGTGCCTTTAAGGGGCACAACTGCCTTTTCATGGTAGCAAGAAAGTCTGAGTAGCTGATACGTGAAGTAATAGCTTTATAATATTTTCCTCAAAAAAAATTCTTGGAATAAGATGCAACAAGAAGAGTTCTCATGGCTATTTGCATGCGAACGCGAAATTTTTCAGTCAACCTAATATTACCGCATATGTATAATACTCAAAATACGCTTTCATTGACTAATTGCTATGAAATGCGAAGAGGTGTGCTCGGCGAAATTTTCTTACATTATAGACAAAGAGTAAGATCTAGATGCACGAATTCCTTGATGAGAGCTGTAGTGAGGAAAAATGGAATTCAAACTCTTTTTGAATAAAAATTTTAGCAGAAAAAATTCTCGTTCGAATTTGAAAATGAGGTTTGCAATTGTCAACATCTGTAGAGATCAGCAGCTACAAGATGATATACGTTTTGCCAGGATTCGATTTGGAATAATAGAAAAAGGGTACCATAGCCAAATGCCTTGTGGGGGGGGGGTAAGAGCCAGTTTGCGAAAAGTGCACAGACGAGCAGAGGAGAGAGAGCAGGGCCAAAAAGCAGAGCTGACCGGCATTCGGCTTTATTCGAGCGCTTCATAAATGCTCTACAAAAGCTGCAAATCTATAACATTATCATTCATTTTCTTTGTTAGGAGGCGACTAAAAACACTGACAACGTGTCAGATAAAGACCCCTTCTTGTCAAGATTAACCATCACTTTCGTGCGCGACTCCCTATGTAGTGCGCTCAAGCGCATTTTCTCCTTTCTGTTGAACTCCAGCATGCTTGGTAAAATCTGGTCATAGTCAAAGAGAAGAACTTCGAAAAAAGGCCATTTTCAGGGAAACCTCCACCAAAAACGAAAAAGGCTTTAAAAACCCGAATTTTCGATGTTGCTGAGATTCTAAGATAGTGACAATCATTCTAATTTGGTTGTAAGCTTTGCAGAGCTTCGCCACGCTTCCTGTTTCTTCTCGGGTGATGTCCGCCCTTTTTTATTTTGCTCAGGATGAGTATAATGATTACATGGAGGAGATGAAAAGCAGCGTGTTTAAATTTGAACAACATCAAATTACTTCTTTATCGGATAACTTAATCATATAAATTTCGATTTGAAAAACTCATAGGGGTAGGTCACACAGACACAGGCCGGAGCCAACTTATGCAATCATAGCAGTGTGACCAGCATATCTTGGGACTAAAATACCTGGATTCTAGGATTTCCGGTTCTAATTTCATGACTTCTCATTTCCGAACTTTATCCGGGCCAAACTTTGCACAATACACGTCTTTTCGAGGCGTGTCGTAGTATTTTTAGTTGCCGATCGATGCGATTTCTTTGATTTTGAAGATCTTTTGCGAGGTTTCGGGTACGGAGCTTGTAGTTTACACAAGGAGGGGAGGGGGGATAAGTATGCCGATCACGAAAAAGTAGTGGGGCTAGGATACTGGCCTATAGAAGTGGAATCGAAAAAAGGAAATTTTACGGAACAAGGCACGGAGATATTTATCGTAGCTTAGTATTGACAGGATCGGGCGAAACCGGGTTGCCTGCTAGTGTTTTTCATAATCTTACACAGCGAGGCTTACTACATAGCGACAACTTCTACATCGCTCTATCTTTTGCTAGAACAACCCTTCTGAATAGTCATGCATGCTACAATACCCGTCACTTGCGGTATTGCTGCCATTTTATAAGCACTTTGACAGCTTATTCGGTCACTTTGAATCTTTTGAACAAATACACGTTTTAGGAGTGAATGCAGAGTCACACTATAGTCATTGCGTTATGGAAACACCGATTAAATTTGTCAAAACTCCAAAAACCGGGAAATGTTCGTATTTTCGTAGTGGGCCCTCCACGAACTTTACTGGACGAAAACAAGTTTGTCAATTTTACCGCAAGTATTTATTTTCGGTACTGAAAGCGTTTTCAGTGTTGATGTTTATTTCCAAGTTGAATCGCCCATTAAAGACCATGATCACCTGCAACTGCTTCAAAAGGTAAGGTTTCTATTGCCAATACTGGGTGTCCTAAACAGATGTACCGACGTTCACGTTACTAGCTTTCTTTCATCTTCTGAAAGTTTAGTTACATCACACTGTTTTTTAGCAAACGAATCATCTAGCTTTCTCTATTACTCAAGGATTATTGATTCCAGTACATGAAGTCTCAGTAGATTAAGTCGTTAGGGTGTAATTTTCGAAGGTCTTCAAACATATTCAGGTTTCTTGACACTCTGATCTTTGTATAGCTTTGTTCTTATACGCAGGAAACAATATTTCAAGATATTTGGATAGCAGTCAATATGATACTTTTTTGCTTCGACAATCGGAAGTTTACAAGCGCATATTTTAGTTCCAAAATCATTTGTTTCCTTACTCTAAAGCTGTTTCCTTCATTTGCACGGTGCCTTTTAGTGAGGAATAATGAGAATTTGGAGATCTGCGCGTGCAGCTACTGTGAAAGATATACAACAGGGCTCGGCACGGGGTGGCTAGTTGAAAATGCAAAAAACGAAGTCCCCCTTGACTTTTGCGAATTAATTTAACGAATTTGCGAATACAGTCCCCTTTGACCCTAGACCAGGGCTCGGCACGAGGTGGCGTCCCGAAATTGCAAAAAATGAAGTCCCCTTTGACTTCAATAAAATTACGATATCCGCCACGAGATATTCGAAGAGAAAATACATGAAAAGGAACGGAACAAAGCAACAGCGGAAAAAAAACGCAAAAGAATCATCGAACACACGCGATGATATTCATATTCTCCGGAATGGCGGCATGATGTATTCATCGTGCAGCAATACGCGCCTAGAGCAGCCTTTCCGCGGCCATTCAAAATTTTCAAGGGGCTATAACTAAACGGGGAGAAGGGGGTTTGAGGCGGTTTAGGAACCAGTTTGTAGGGTTTGGGATGTAGATGAAAAGTTTGTAAAGAAAGTAGAAAAATTATGTGAGGGAGGAAAAATTTATGACTTTTTTCCTAAGCCACCTCAGGTGGCTATCCAGGTGGCTTGAAAGCCACCTAACTCCGAAAAAAGTTGAGCACGCTTTTAGTTCACATAATTTTTTCATATTTTTTTCATACTTGATTTTAACTCCCCATTGTCCATCTACACACCTATTTTGGTGTCATTTCATCCTCACTTCGCTGTAAACAAACCTTTTGTTTATTTGCTAGCGGCATGCCGGCAGCGTGCCGGCCGCAGGTCGAAAGACAACGTTATGCTCTTCCGCAAAAACGATATCCCCTTTGCTTTTTCCCCAAAAACGATATCCAGCTTGCTTGCTAAGCCACCTGTGCCGTGCCCTGATATACAACTGTTAGGTGAGCTCTATTGCGCGCAACGCCGTCAAGGCACTGAATGCATCGAATACCTTCATTTCTAGTTTAGTCATATCTATGTTTTCTACTTAAGCGTAGAAATCAAGCCGTACTATGGCTATGGTCCACATCGAACTCCTCGTTAACTCATTCAAAAGGAGTTGACCCCTTACTGCAACTGTAAGCTAAAGTAAGCTAAACTTACAATCGCCCACTTTTCCGTGTTTTAGCGAGGTGAGAGCTCTTAGAAGATCGTCCGGTCAAGTGCTGTGGTTAGTTTACAGCGTTGTCCTTAATGAAAAGCCGTAAGTTAACCTAACGCGGACTGAAAATAGTAGAGAAAAATCTAGGAGATCGCTTTGAGTACCTGGCGGGAAGCGATCTCACCTTTTCTTGCGTTCATGTCATCTGCCTTATCTTCGCTTATGCTGGTCGTTTTTGGCAGCGACCCCATCGACAACGGTCATAGTGCGTCGTCGCTCATTACCGGGAATTTGGTGGTTTGGGCGACGAAATTGCGATAACGAATCGCTCATCGCGAGTACATCTGCATAGTACGAGCGATTCCATTTTTTGCACACTGCAACTGAGTGTGCATGTGCACATATACTGGGCTAAACTTGTTCTCGTGATATATTTCACTCTTCACTCTCACCATCTCTCCTGTAAAGTAACTTTTAAAAAGGTGAGAGTTTTTTTTAAATTTTTATAATACCTGGTAACGAAATCTATCAGTGCTGGTTAAATTGTTGCTTTATGCTGGGGAATATGAGTGCGAACGCCATTGTATTCTACCCTAAATGCATGCTTACAAGGCGCAAATTTTTCGATTTCTCAAGCGAGTCCCTCAGCCGTTCTCTGTGTTTCGCAAAGCACGATTTTCGCAGGCAGCACGGTACATTGTCGTTTGGTCGCGAAGTCCTTCGGCTTATTTGGGCCTCTCGATTTTGGAAAAAATCCCTAGCACCTTGTGCGCATAAGTTAGGTCTAAACCCGACCAACCTGAACACACCAAGGAAGCGACCAGAGTCCCTCTACCGTATGCTCCTTACCTAGAGAATTGTGGGGAAAGCGATCATTTCGCGAAGGTACATGTTGCGGCCCAGCTAGTTGATTGAAAAAATTGAGCAGGAAAATTCCCTATTGTCAATTTTGTGGCCTTTGCTACAGTAGAACTTCGCCGTCGAAAATGTTCATACTTTGGGAAGACTATGATGACCTTGAAATTTTTTTGTAAGAGATTATCTGAGCTCCAGTAAAGACTGGTAAAAATTGACTTGATAAGATCTCGGGCTGTAGATAATTTTACCAGTAGCCAGGGCAATACAAAGTTTATTTTGCCAACATACCACAATTTTCGCTTACCCCTCAAGTTGCAGATCCGTGAGCTATGTTCTATGTACGCGGCATCTCAAAGACGGATTGTTGCATTCGAGAGAAGTCTGCAGAAAGCTATAGCTAGAATACGGAAGGAGCTGAGCATAGAGGTATGCAGAGTTGCGTATGTGAATTGCAGCATTCATAACTTTTTATTAGTTTCATCTTATGTTTTGGACTAACTGTGTGAATCAGTGCAAAAATATGAAATAGGAAAGTATGCTATTTAGGGCTTCTATCCGGAGCAGCTAGAGCAGATTCTCAGCGTGAGAGATGCCATACATAATCCAAGAAAAAACGGACTGGCCACACTCAGGTATGTAATGACAAGCTGCGTTGATCTAGTAAGCAACGTTGCAGACAGTGTTCGCTTTCTGGGAGTCCTCAGCCAGAACCTTGGTTGGAGGTCGTCCGTTCACAAGTGGGGAGTTTTCCGGTGGTTGTCCGATCAGTTCAACAGCAACCCCCTCAAGGAATACTGCGAACAGAAAAAGAGTTTCGACAGTGGTTTCGGGTAAAAATTAAAACCTTTTGTCGGAATAATCGTAACTTTGTCACACTTGCTTGAGCCATTCTTTGTAGATTCAGTATGATCCTAATCGATCCCAATTAAGAATATGATCTTCTACTTATGAAAGTACTTTGAATGAGGCCTTGCGCAAAGAGGGGGAGGGGGGGGAGGGACTTCTCACACGAGTTATACTCTTGCACCTAAGTGATATGCCTACCAGGCACATTCGAACCAGAGCCAGAGCCACAGAGGGTGGTAAATGGAATCATCAAAACGACTTCACCTTTGCCACTATTGATTTTTACAATTTCTCACTTGATCTCGCTAGCTGCGTAGTCTGTCTGACCATGGTGCGCTTTTTTCCCGAAAAGGGCCGGCTTCGTTGCTATTACGGATCCTGACAAGGAGGGGACGAAGATTTTTGGAACTAAAATGTTACTAGATACTAAACTTTAGGTGTAGAACAGGTTTAAAAAAATTTTGAGGAATTTAGGTAGGATGGAAGTTTTGACTATTTCAGGTGGACATTATATGGGCAACTGTCCACTTAATGAAGAAAAAAAGCTAAGCACGTTCTTTATTCACACAAGTTGTCATTATTATTCATACTTTGTTCCTTAGTCCAAGTGCGCGTACATACATCAGATTTCGTGCCATTCGTCATCTGTGCGTTACAAAAAGCCATTATCATTTTGTGTTAGTGGAAAATTAAAAAAAAAGGCTTGAAACAACCCTTAGCCACATAGTTTTGCCACAGTTTCCTGCATTGTACTCCTCCTGGTTTATGTCCGTTTATACTCCAAATTCTTAGTCTCATATCGATATGTATGCGCTCTAACCGACAGTTTAATGACTCAATGAAAAAGTTAGGATTTTCGATGATGGCACACGATCAAGATCGTGTTTTTGCATGTCAATCGTGAGCAACTTGTCGAGAGAGTGTATTTAGGTTGGCGCAAAAGTAACGCATTTTGCGAGTTCTCACTTTGATTTGCTATAACTTTCTGAAAAATTTACATTCCTCACTGCGATAAAGGCTATCAAAGGCAGATCTGTCCCAACACAGCGCATATCCGTCTATACTCACAACACAAACGGGCAGAAAGATATGGATTAATGAGCAAGGGAAGTTTCTTCTTGAAACCTCATTTTTAGCTGATCATAGCTTCATTCGAAAATTGTTACCCTAATTTCACACGTATAAGGCGCAGTTTTTCGAATTTTCAAGCGAGCCGCTCTGCCGCTTCACTGTATTCCGAAACGAAATCTTTACATCGCGCGATTCTTTTAAGCAATGTACAGCACGTTATAGGGTCCTTTGGTTGTAAAGTTCCTTCGGCGCGTCTGGGCTGATCGATTTTGAGAAAAAAAAATCCCGCGCACCTTAGCGTGAAATTAGGGTAGTATAAATATTAGGTGCATGAAGTTTTCGAAGTGCCTACTTGAAGGCTAAATGTTTTTGCAAAAACCGTCAACCACCCTTACGTTTAGAAATGAGCGAAGCTTTGGCGATTGCCTTCTACAAAAAACATTTACGGGCTACAGAATGACAAGACAACTACCCATTTTGAAGAGCCAACTCAGCTTAGGTAATTTCCTAAGAAGACACTGAAGTGGGCTTAATGTATTAGGTAGTAAAGAAAGGTCCCCGGCACTTTTGAGAATTTCGTTTTCTGACGCATTTTTTTGGCGGTCGGCCGGACTTTGACAAAAAGGTTTTTGTATTGTTCATTAGAGGAAAGGGAAGTTGCTGCGGAAATCGTTTGGCCTGTGTAATGGGTCCAAAAGATGTGCAAGGCATTACCCCGTCAATGTTCTCAGTAATAAAAGATTCGGTCCGCTCTTTGCAGAATTAGAAGACACTTAATCTAGAAATAATGCATTCTTGAGGCAAAAATGGTCGATTTTTCAAACTTTCTGAAAAAAATTTTTTTGTAGATGGTCCTCCCAACGTGAATGGTCCCCATAATAGCCTCAGCAGACCTTTATGTAATTACACCATCTGAGCTCTCCAGCTCTCATCATGCTTGAGATAATCCTGCACAAACAGGCCACTTTTCGCATCGACCTTTTCCCCTTTTGCGCATGGTGGTGGAACGCACTGAGGCGCTGGAAAGCTAACAAGGCAAACACTTGTTGTAGTTGAAATTCTTTAAAAAATTTGCAGCTCTGAGAAAGGTTTAATCTGCTTGAAGTTACAGCGACTTGAAAAAAATCTCCCAAGTCCCGCGAACTTCCTTTACGGCCTAATAGACAACTTCCATTTCATACAGTAGCTAAAATCTTAAACGGATGCCTTCATTCGCGCTCGAATTGTGGCTAGAAAAGTAAATGCAGTGAAATTCTGGTTTCGACTGCAGTTATGCAAAGCTCCACAAATTTTTAGCGAATGAGGATAAAAGCCCGCTTTATTGAAAGTGTAACTTTGCTGGAAAAAATTATCCTGAAACAAGGGATCAAGAAACGCGCATTAGTTAACGCGCATCAACCTGATACATGTAAACGGTACCATCTGCCAGCACGATATCCCCTTTGCTACCCATCCAAAACGATTTCTAGCTTGACATTTGCCCACCTCATGCCGAGCCCTAATTCGTACTTATAATTATTAGCTCGTCAGGGTACCAAGGCACTGCAAGTCCCGCACCCTTATTCAGGGTCCCGTCGGATGCTAGAACCGGGATTTCAAAGCAAGTTCCAAAATTGAGCTCGGTAGCGAAATTGCTCTATTAAGGCCAAATTTTGGATTTAGGTGTTTTCCCGGTTGCTCTTTTTAGTTGTTTGTGCAAAATCAAAATTTAGCACCAATAATGCCCAGCCAAGATCAAAAATTGGATTCAGAAATTTTCGAATTTTCCCTTCTCAAAACAAGACCGAAATTCAGGTTCGCGTTTTCTTTAAATCGATTTTTTGATAGCTAATTATGTTCTAATTAGTATCAGTGGCGATGTCATTTTTTGAACTGGAGAAAAAAGTGCTTGTCTCACAAAAACAGAATTATTTCCTTAGAAAACGCCAGATGCTAAAATATGTATGTGACGGTGGCGTACCCAGAATTTCCGTTCGGGGGGAGGGGGGGGGGACAAAAAAATTTTTAGTTGAAGGCGCGTGGCGTGAGCCACGCACTCGGAAAATTTTTTGGGATGTTTCCAAATATTTTTCCGGGCCCCTGGCCCCAAATTTTAGAAAAAGGGGGCATGGCGGCAGCCACGAAAATTTTTTTTTACGCTAATTTGAATTTTCAAAAATTTTCAAAAACTATTTTAATTATTTACAATTGAAACAAGTCCTCTGCACATTTTTATACATATTCATTATTTTGAAAACAACCACATTCAGATTGATGCCACGGATTTTTTTTCAATATGTAGTTCATCCACAATTTTCGAAAACCCATAAACCTGAATTTTGGTTTTGTTACAAAATCTTGACTAAATCCATTTTGATCTCGTTCATTGTGTGCTGCCTTGACTTTGCAACAAACAATTCTTACTACTGAAAAGAGCAACTTCGAAAATCCATTTCGAAATTTGACTTTGTTTGGAGAGATTTCGCGACTGAACTTCTATTTTGCAGTTTCCTTTGAAAACCTGGTTTCAGCACTGGATAAGGAAGCGGTTCTTGCAATGTCTTGGTATTCAGAGGGGACCGTGATTATAGCTAGTCCATGCCTGGCAGGCATATCACTTAGATGCGAGAATATCGCTCGGGTGAGTAGCTTCTCGTATCCCTTGCGCGAAGATAAAGAAGTTGAGAACCGTGGATGAATATGCAAAATTTATGTTACATTTTATAATAGATGGCTAGCGTACCCGGCTTCGCTCGGTCCCTATAAACCTGAACCGACTAGCTAAGTTTTACAACTTCCGACAGATTTTTTCTCTTTAAATATGATGGATTTGAACTCTTGCATTATGTATATACAGTGAGCGAAAAGCGAGCACAAATTATCAGACTTTTGATAACTAAATGGAAGAAATTTGAGTATTTTTCAAAACTACTGAAATTTGAAATTTCAATAAAGCCGCTACTAGTCGAAGTTAACACATTAACGACCATGCAATTTTTGAGTCGTCTGCCTTCTACGACCAGGGTCTGTCACGAATCAGAATAATTTTCAGTTAAAACCGTGCATATTGCCATACACAGTTCACCTACAGTAGCTCTGTGAGACGGACTAAACAGATAGAGGTCATTTCTAGTTCCAAGGCAAGAGAGAACTTTTGAAGCGAGTTTCTTCTGGGAAAGTCGTCATTTAACTAACTTCGAACCTTGGCACACCATGTGTGTCAAGCGGTCCCACGTGGTGTCACTGCTTGACACACACGGTGCGTCAAGCGGTCGTCAATGTGTTGAACATATCGGCACAGAATAACTCCAGAATTGTTGCCAGAGATTCGCTAATTAAGCTCTGCAAAAGAATGACATTGGTTAGAGACTGTTCGATCTAGCCCCTGGGGAATGTGAAAACGCAGCTGAACGCAAGATTGATACTAATATTAATCGATGACTAATAAGCGAAATCCAAGAATTTCACGAGACTTTGCATTATGGGTGAATTCCACATGCCGAATACTGTTATCAGATCACCTAGCGTAACGTTTTTTGCAACTATCCTACTATAATAACGCGCTAAGGCCGTCTGTTTTTTTGTGTGTCTGTCTGTGTGTCTGTGTGAAAATCTGTCTGTCACGAAATTCATAGAGGAAGCTCCAACTAAACTATCGGGCTGCAATTTTGCATAGCATACCGTGTCAGCGTGTAGGCCCACTATGCACAAGGACGAGCCGGTTCGATAAGCGGGTCCCTCAAAATTTGCGCGTCAAACGGGTCCACGCGCCTTTTGGCACGCAAAACTGGGCCGCTAATTCGACTTTTTGCAAAGTTATGATTTGCCTGAGAAGTAACTCTGCGCGCCATGAATTCTAGCCCAAAAAGTGCTCAAAAAGTTTGCTTTTCTGCGAAAACAGCGCCAAAAATTGCTGAGCGCGTAGATAGCGGCT